TAATGTTGAAATTTGCCACTGATTATTGGCATTTCCTTTCCGGGAACAGTCCACATTGCAGGTATTGCCACAGGCTTAAGAGCTACACTGTGGTTTTGAACATCAGTGTTCTTCTGACTTTTGGGGCAAGGGGAGAGTTCCCCAGACAAAATCATGAATACCTCTACCCTCCTTGGTTTACCACCAGTCTCATCTGTTGGCTTAATGTTGCTGGACACATAGCCTTTTAATATACTGTGACGTATTTACCTGGGTTTATCGGTAAAATTAAATGGACAAGCCTCTCTTAAATTGTGCATAAGTGGTGGTTGTTTTTTCTTTGATTGTTTGGTTGAGTAAATACCATAGGTCAAAGAATGCTAGAAATTATGTATTTTTTATTTTCTTAGGCACTCAGATCATGCCTCATTTTGTAAATTGGGAAACCTCTCAGGGACTTGGATCCCAGAACGCAGAGCCATCAAAGAGAATTGTAAGTTTGGTCATCGAAATACAAATATTAGTGCAAATATTATAAAATGGGAAAAGGCTGAATTATTTTAATGATTTGTATCTATACAGCTCTTACAGCTTTGATTTTAATGATGGGGCAGTTTAAAATATATTTTTATTAATTTCAGAGAGGCAGGGAGAGGGAGGGAGAGAGAGAGAAACATCAATGATGTGAGAGAATCATTGATCGGCTATCTCCTACACACCCCTACTGGGGACCTAGCCCACAACCAGGTCATGTGCTCTGACTGGGAATCGAACCACGATCTCTTGGTTCATAGGTCAACCCTCAACCACTGAGCCACACCGTAGGGCATGATGGGGCAATTTAAATCTTGAACTCAATAACCCTACAGCCTTTATCCAAAACTGACACACGTTATCTAGTAGTTAATTTTCATGGGCATGTTTTTAGGTAAGATCCAGGTGTGAAAATGGACCAATTCGCAATTAGTAAAATACCTTCCTGAGTATAAAGGTTTTATTTTATGTTTAAAACACAAAAAACTGCCCTGACCAGATAGCTCAATTAGTTAGAACATCATCCCTATGGATTACATTCATAGGCCAAAGTTGTGGATTCAAACCCTGGACAACGTCCATACAAGAGTCAACCAGTGAAGGCATAAATGAGTGGAACAACAAATCAATCCCCATCTCTCTCTATCTGACCCCCTCCCCCATCCTTCCCCTCTTGCCCCCTCTCCCTACCTCTCTCTCTCTAAAATCAATAAATAAATTTTTTTAAAAAATTTTAATAAAAAAAATCTTAAAAGTATTAGACATTTTGCCCTAACTGGTTTGGCTCAGTGGATAGAGCGTTGGCCTGCGGACTCAGGGGTCCCAGGTTTGATTCCAGTCAAGGGCATGTACCTTGGTTGCGGGCATATCCCCAGTAGGGGGTGTGCCGGAGGCAGCTGATCGATGTTTCTCTCTCATCGATGTTTCTAACTCTCTATCCCTCTCCCTTCCTCTTTGAAAAAAAAAAAGTTAAAAGCTTAAATAAACCAACTTTTCACTATAACAAAATTAAATTATTAAAAAAAACTTTGTGATTAGAACATAAGTTTGCTAGTCTCTTTGGGATGTTTTATATTCTTCTAAATGTATATTGGAATTTTTAAATTATTTTGAGATCCTAATCAATTTACTTAATTATAGTTAAGGAGAAGGAAAATTGAAGCAAGTGTACAGCCAGAAGTTCCAGCATCCCAGCAACTTTTATCAACCATAAAGGTAAATGAAAAAAATATTAGAAATAAGAAAAGTCAAGTGGTTAAAAGAAATCCTACTTACTTTTCATCCTATCTTATTTTTATGATCATTTTTATAGCTATAGCTAACCTAACACTTGTATAATACCTTAAAATTTTCAGTGACCCAATATTTTGGCTTATTTGACTTGCTAAGCATTTTGTGTGATGGTGGTGCTCTCATCAGTATCTCATTCAGCTTTGCATTGAATATTTGTAATTTATCCTCTTAAAGATTTTTATTTCTAAACCCTTGAATTTTTTTTTCTTTGCCATTTGTCTTTGTGCAGCAAATTGTCAAGTCCATTTTCACAGAAATGCATGGATGCCGTTAGTGACTTAAGAAAATGTTGAGCTAGGGAACCTTTAAGTTCAGAGTGACATTTATTAATGTACCAGACTGAACTCTTTAAATCTGACCTTTCAGAAAGATTCAGAAAAACACATTGAAATGGAACTACGTAAATTTTTGGCTATTAAGCGGACACCTGACTTTCATACTGTTATTGGGGACATAGTAATAGGACTTCTGGGAAGATGTAAAACAGAACCATCATTTTATCCTCGGAACTCTCTGATGCAGCTTATCCAGATGCATGTGCTTTCTTACAGGTAAACGTTTGCACACCAAACTTTACGTGCATAACTTTTTTTTACCTTGTTTCTTACAGTTCTAATTTCCATGCTCTGAAAAACCTTATAAATTATTTGCAGTTGAGATTTTTCTTTTTTCTTTTTTTTTTTTTAAATTAAATCTTTATTGTTCTGATTACATTTGTTCCTCTTTTTTTCCCATAACTCCCCTTCTCCCAGTTCCCGCCCCACCCTCCGCCCTCACTCCCCACCCACTGTCCTCATCCATAGGTGCACGATTTTTGTCCATTCTCTTCCCGCATCTCCCATTCCCCTTTCCCCCCCCCAAGAATAGTCAGTCCATTCCCCTTCTATGTCCCTGATTCATTGTAATCACCAGTTCATTCTGAACATCAGATTATTTATTCACTTGATTCTTAGATTCACTTGTTGATAGATGCATGTTTGTTGTTCACAATTTGTATCTTTACCTTTTTCTTCTTCCTCTTCTTAAAGGAAACCTTTCAGCATTTCGTATAATACTGGTTTAGTGGTGATGAAGTCCTTTAGCTTTTCCTTATCTGTGAA